TTGACTAATTTTCATGAATGGCTTGGACTATCTGGCCTTGATTTGTAGCCTAATATCTCAGGATAAACCTGGAGAACCCCCCCACAAAAAATGGCACCCAATGGACCAGTATTGCAGCCTGCAGAAATAATTTATATATTTTGGAAAAGGACCCCAGACACCCCGTGACAGCTTTGGTATGATGGTATATGAAGTGATATCATACCATCTGGTATGGTATAACATGACATGGTATGGTATGGTAACTTGGTATTGGTATGAGTGGGATATGGTATGGGTTTTCCATTCCATGGTACCATGGTATTGGTATGGTGCTCACATACCACCCTGGAATGGGTACCCTTGAGGTACCCTTAAATCAAAGAATTCATATACCTCGGGGGTACCCTAAAATGGGTGACTGAAGTGACCACCACCACCATCCACCCCACCGTCTCAAGCCACGACCGCCCATGACAATGACGTCGACAATGCCGACAACGATGTGACAATGCCGACAACGATGCCGACAACGACAACAATGACACTGGTGACGACACCAACAACGACGCTGACAACGACCACAGATGGGTGGGAACAACGGCGAGCGGAAAGCCCAGGTAAGCCAGCGGCATGGCAACCAGATGACGGACGACGACGAATGTCGTCGTCCATCATCTCATTCCACCCATGAACAAACCACCCCACCCATTGAGCTGACCCCGACCACAGGTGCCATGTGGTGACATGGCAGATCCACCACCACACCACGCCGACGTCAATGACACCCATGACCAAGGACGACCGCCCACGGACGTCAACGACTGCCCACGAAGATGACATGACCGCCCACGCAGACGACACGAAGATGACGCGACGACATGAAGACGACACAACGATGCGACCACCCACAAAGACAATGCGACCGCCCACGAAGATGACGCGACCGCCCACGAAGACGATGCGACTGCCCACGCCACGACCGCCCACACCAAAACAAGCCCACCGCCCAAAAACGTGGACCCAGAGCACCCACGCATGGAGGATTCCGCTCACGTGAACGGAAATGGGCAACGACGAGCCCAGGTAAGCTCCCCCTCCCTCCAACATCCCTTATCACCACCCCTCCAACATTCACCCTCCCTTCATTGCTCCCCCTCCCTTCGTTGCTCCCCCTCCCTCTGTTGCTCCCCCTCCCTCCATTGCTCCCCCTCCATCCATTCCCACCTCTCCCTTCACCACTCCTCCATCACTCCTTCCCCCTCCCTCCCCCCTCACTCTACTACATGCTCCCCCTCCATCACTTCCCCCTGTCTTCCCCCCTCCCTTATATATTGAGAATAGTAGACATAAATTGTGTAGTCTATTTAATACATTTCAATTTTTCCTGCTAAGCTATGACTCATGAATGTAGAAACCATGATTACATGATATAGACTTAGAATTATTTCATAAAGTCATTCCATGTGGATTCCATATGGAGTCCATATGAATTCCACCCTTAAAATGGTATAGAACATATAGAATAGAGTATGGAGTCCATCAGCCATTCCATGGAATCCATCCCCCAAAGTCATGGAATCCATCCCCCACTCCATGGAATCCATCCCCCATTCCATGGAATCCATCTGGAATTTGTGCAGTCCACCCCCCATTCCATCCATTCCATATGGATTAACCCAGGGAGGGTAAAGTACTGAGACGACGTTATACGCTGACGAGGAGTCTTTACCACAGCTGGTGCTTGCTTTTCGATGATAGTCTGAAGCCTGAAAAAGTAAGTTGGTAGATCTCAAGGAATATAATCTGATAAAATGTTCTTACTCATTGGTGGAAGATACCACTGTGGTAGCCTTGGACAGGCCTAGGAGGTGGAGCTATAGCTGCTCCACTATCAAGCAAAATTTTCTGAGTTCTGCATCAAATTAATAGGTGATCAAAATTTAAATATAATAAATATACTGACTTGGTAAGATGATCTGCAGCTACCTTTTCAGCTGCAGCCTTTACAGAACTAGCCCTCGAAGTCCTAACAAAGATTGGTAAACAACTCATTGAGTTAGAATAGAAAAAAAAAGAATTAAATGCTTCCGAAGTAGATTGGCCTGCGGCTGCCTTTCCAACTGCAGCCTTTACAGGTTTGGCACTAGATTTCCTACAAAAATTGGTAAGCAAATGACCAAGCTATGATGAAAAAAAAACATACATAATTCTCTTCTTTCCCTTCTTTCCTGCAGCTTTGCTATGGAGAGGTCCACTTCAGTAATAAATTCAGAGATATTGAATTTTTCTTACTTGTTTCCCTTGTCCCCTTTCTTTCCTGTAGCTCCACCTTCATTATCCTCACCCTCACCTCCAGTCTTACCCACTTCACTGTCCATGGCAACCTTCTTGGCAGCTGGTTCCACAGAGGCATCAACAGACGATGCAGCATGCTTTCTGGCACTCCTATGAGACTTAGGAGGGGACTTAGGAGGTGAGGTGGGAACATTAGCAGAGTTCTTGGAAGTCCTGGGAGGCATAGTAAGCAAGGAGTTAACTCAGATGTTCTTAGATGGTGGTGGATGAAGGAAGAGATAAGAAACAAGCAACTTGTCAAGTCCACTTGTCATTACATAAGCATTTCTCACCACTTCAAAGTTCACAAAAAAAACCATAAGTCCAAAGTTGCAACGAAATTTTTACTTGCAAAAATACAAACTATGTACACATACGAAAGAAACTATCTACCAGATGTATATAACTCTCCTACTAAAAGGGCATGTGTACGTAAGGTGGGGCACGAAACGATACAGGAGGGAAGTGGAAGCAGATGCATTGAGTCTAAGGTGGGGCATGAAATGATATGAGATGGGAGTGGAAGCGGATGTGTTGAGTCTGCAGGGATGGCGTTGGGCGCCGTTTGTGAAATGGTGGGGGATGAGTGTGGTTGGGCACGAAATGATGTTGGGTGTGATATGACGGATACTGGGTGCCGTTGGTGAGAAGGGTGGGAAAGGGGAGTGGAAGGGTACAAGGTGGGGTACACGGATATGGTGAGTCCCCTGGTGGATGTTTGGATGGAAAGGCAAAGCATGCTGTGGGCGCTGTTTGCGAAATGGATGGGTTTGAACAGTTTATTGGGTGCGAAATGACAGGCAGTGGGCGCCAGAAGTATGGAATCCATCTGACATTCCTGGAATCCACCTCCCATTCCATGCAGTCCATATGGAATAACCTAGGGAGGGTAAAGTGTTGCTGCTTCCTCCTCTTTGTCCCATACTATATGAATTTTGTGAGCATTCCAGAGAGTGTTCCATTTCCCATAGTGAGGGCAATCCCTATAGAAATGCTTAGGACTGGTACAAATGTAGCAGTCTCCATTGGGTTCTTGCAGGCTAACTTTAGAATCATCTCTTTCAAAGGTTATCCCATTAATTGTTTTTCCATGGGGAAATTCCTGCTTGGCAGGCATAGGTTTGTACCCCCAGAATGTGGTGGAGGTCTTCAATTGTTGTTGAAAACGAAGTTGGTGTCTTGTTCTAGTTCTCCTTCCTCATCAGATGAATAGGATTCTAACTGAACTCCTTGACTAATAGGTTCCTCTTCTGCTTTGTGTACTGTGTGCAATCAGTTGCTTCTATAGTATGGCACTGGCCGCTTATTGCATTCAGTCTGCTGCCAGGAAGTTATGAGACCATTCTTCATCCCTTTAGCTATGGATTGAATGGATAATATAGTTGGGCAAATATTCTTGCTGAGATAATGTGCACTTCAGTCACCCATTTTATGGTACCTGTGAGGTATATGAATTCTTTGATTTAAGGGTACCTCAAGGGTACCCATTCCAGGGTGGTATGTGAGCACATACCAATACCATGGTACCATGGAATGGAAAACTCATACCATATCCCACTCATACCAATACCAAGTTACCATACCATACCAGATGGTACGATACCACTTCATACCATCATACCAAAGCTGTCACAGAGTGTCTGGGGTCCTTTTCCAAAATAAATAAATAAATTCTGCAGGCTGCAATACTAGTCCATTGGGTACCATTTTTTGTGGGGTGGTTCTCCATGTTTTTCTTGAGATATTGGGCTACACATTGAGGCTAGATAGTCCAAACCATCTATTGAAAATGGGTTTAAATAGGTGTTATCCCAGCTTTCTCATGCATTGAAAGCCATTTAATGATACATTTCTTTCCCAGTCCTTTCTGTTAGAACAATATTCATCCAAATCAAACAATACCACATCCATTGGGATGAAAGGGTCATTGAGAAGCAAAGCAAAGTGGAAAGGATCTTCAGGTTTTTTCTAAGATTTCCAACTCCAAGTGGAGGCCAGATAGTCAACTCCAACCTTTGAAAATCAGTTCAATTCAGGGTGACTGCCAGCTACTCTTAACACAAAGCTGGACTGCACTGGACTACTAGCTACTTTTAACACAAAGCTGGACTCCACTGGACTACTAGCTACTCTTAACACTAACCTGGACTCCACTGGACTGCCAGCTACTTTCAACACTTTAGGCAGCCTTATAATACAATCCCCTCCACCTCTGCCTCTACTAACACAAAACTGGACTCCACTAAACTATATGCTATTTTGCTAGCATTGCTAAATACATTTTTAATGATTTATTACAAACTACTCCTATTGAAGAGATACTCAATCTGAAAGATGCATATCATGATCAGGACTATTTGTAGAACTACTTTCCTTATCATCATCATTGTCTGAACCTGAACCACTTTCACTTTTTGAATTCCTTCCTTGTTAGGAAACAATTCATCAAGCCAATTAAGAATGTTAGTTGGAGATTCAGATTTTGGAAATTTGGTCCATGGAATGACAACTCCACATGGTGAACATGCTGTTTCAACACAATATGAGTGATTGGGTGAGAAATAGGTCTTTTGTTTTATTGTGGGTTGAGGATTTTCAGTCATAACCTCATCATCATGTGGCCACTGAATAGCAGCATCAGGGATGTTTTGCCACTCTTGTCGTTCACCAGGACATTGAAGAACACGCTGAATACCATTAATGGTGGCTTTACTGCGATCATGAATACTTTTCTTCCAGTCAGCAACATGTTCAGCACAAGCTTGTGTTCCTTGAATCTTGTCTTTAGAACAGCCAACCACACAACATTTATTTGCAAGTAAAGCTTCATGTGAAGGTCATTGGTGCAATCATCAAAAGCACAAATCTAAGCAGAGAATCAATATCAAATCAAATCAAGCCAAGTTAAATAAACAAACCTGTGGACCCATAACAACACCATCCAAAGTTAACATATTAACATCAAGTGTACCTGGAATCCGCTCTGTATCCCACATTGTTTGTTTGATGGTTTAGTACATTCAGAACAAGTATGCTCTCTTGCACCTGGTATTTCACCATTTTTACCAAGAACAGCAGATGCATGTTGAGTAAGATCATCAATAGCAATGTTAGGTTGGGTTTCAAATGTTGTATTTGAAATTGAAGCCACATATCTAATAGAATGCTGCACAAAAGCTTGCCAAACTTGTTTTCAACTGATTTTGAATGTGTTGTGATGGTCAATAACTCCAAAGCTATTGTTCCAATACTGTGTATAGGTGTTTGCAGATGCATGAAATGAGTACATGCCATTCAGTAGTGCATTTGAAAAGATTGTGTCAACCCAAACATTGCTTCCAATTTGGAGGTATTTAGCTGAGTTCAGAAATATTTCTGTCTGATTGCCTCTATTATGATGTATTTGATGGTCAGCATAATACATTAAATGACATGTTGTACATTCTCCAATCAATGCAGCAACATTCTTAAGAATTGATGACCCTTTAATCAAGTTCACCAAAGGTACATCACGTTGACAAATATATACTCCAATGCATTGAAATTTACAAGAGGCAGTTATACACTCCATGTCAATAGGACAAATCAGTTGAATGGGCTCAATTGCCCTTAGGGAAACTTTCTGTAACTTTTTGTTGAAAACACCTTATAAAGAAGGTGTAAGTCCAAGAAGCTCTGAAAATGCATCAATTTTAAGAGCTAATGGGGTTTCCCATGAATTTGATATAAATTCATTTGGTTGAAAAAGCATTGAGACATCTGAATCAAGTTGTTCATTTAATGCATGACCTAGTGATTTTATCCAACTTGATGCAATGATTTTCTTCTCATTTGGTAGCTTTGGATGTTTCTGACATGCCTGTAAATTCAGCAAGTCTGGATTCTCCAGGAGTGAAAAAAAGACAAGCAGGACAGTTCCAAGTGAGATTTTAGGGTTAAATGTATGTAGTCAAAATAAATCGACTAAAAGCCTAAAATGGGTTATTAGGAAAGGGTGTGGTTGTTGACCCTGAGGCCAATACACAAGAAACAAATGCAAGCCATACAAGTAGCCAACTTATTGGTGATGTAGCCAATGTATAACATTTCAAAGAAAATCCAGCAAGAAAAAGGTCATTTATGAATCCTGCTGCTGTTGGTCCAGTAACTGATATGAAAAGTTGGAGTGCAAGACATAACAGCAGCCAGACTAAAGTTGAGACAACCATCACATGAGGCTTCACTAAGTATCTGAAAATTTTCACAATCAAAGATTAGATTTCTATGTCCAAAAAATCACATATGTAACAATCTTATCCCAACTTACTCATCTGATTTCTCTGACTTCCTGTTCTTCCTGTTCTTCTTGTTCTTTTTCTCCTTCTCCTTCTCCTTCTCCTTCTCCTTCTCCTTCTCCTTCTCCTTCTCCTTCTCCTTCTCCTTCTCCTTCTCCTTCTCCTTCTCCTTCTCCTTCTCCTTCTCCTTCTCCTTCTCCTTCTCCTTCTCCTTCTCCTTCTCCTTCTCCTTCTCCTTTCCAAGTCCCTTCAATAAGCTTGCAGCAACAGCTTCTTCAACAATCTTAGCCTTTCCTTTTGAAGGCTTTCCTCCCTGATCCATCCATTCTTTCAACATCTTCAGAGTGTACTTTACATCTATTCCCCAAAGGTCCTCTGCATCCTTGCTGTCAGCATCATGTTGTAGCCACTTGACCATTTCTGGAAAGTGCTGTAAAACTCTACTGAACATTGGATGCCAAACATTGCTCCACTGGCTTTTTCCAATAAACAGCTCAGTAACCTCCTTCTCAGTAGGTGTTTTTTCAGGCCACTGCTTGACCTGGCACATGTCGTTAAGAGCTTTGGTGACTGCAAGATAGCAAGAAAATTGCTCTGGGAGGGACTTAGCAGCTGTTGTACATGTAAGGTTCATTGGAACCTTGAGAATATGGAGAAGACTTATTTCATATGCAGTAAAAGAAGTTTGACCAACTGAGTCCTCAGCATCTGCAGTTAATGGTTCAATGCTGCCAGATTGGATGTCCCCTGATGTAGATATGGAATGTGTGCAAGAGTGGGAATGAGGAATAGATCCACCTCAGAGTGAACAAGCATGAGAAGGAGCAATAGAGGAAAAAGAAATCCCAGGCTCAAAAGAACTCTAAAAAAAAAGAATTCTATAATATATCAGAATAGTAGATAACACTTACAACAAGAATGTGAAGAGTTGCTTTCCCATCAGAATTGTCGAATAAAATACTGTCATTTATCTCGACTGCACTATCATAGAGACCTTTGGCAACCCAAAGCCCATCCAAAGCATCATAAACAAGAATATGATTTCCTAAAGAAAGTTATCTTCAAATTTAGAACATTATATTTCATAAATAGCTTACAAGTGATGGGTGGCCAACAAACAGCTACTTCCTTCAGAACTGGCCCCAAGTTTAAGTTAACAGTGACAGGAACCTTTAGGCTAGATTGCATTTTAGTGAAGTCAAGTTCAACAGGGTCCAAAGGTGATACATAGATTTTCACAACACCCTTGACCTTTTCTACATTAGAAGAAATATGTAGTTCGTCATTGTCAACAGGGTTATAATATTGACCCATAGCCTGATTCCACAAAATGGCACCTGTAGCTCTAGAAGAACCCTCAGGACAAGGAGGGCTTTCCATGGTGACATCAGGCTCATTAGCAGGCGTTGAAGGTCTCTGGGTTGTGATAGCAATAGAGGTGGGAGTGGGCATATTTAAGTTAGTGGTGGTGTCAGAACTTAGGGCATTATGTGGACCAGAATCAGTAGTGGAAATAACAGCAGAAATAACAGAAACAGGAGGAGCAGGAACAGAAACAGCAGGAGAAGGAACAGAAACAGCAGAGACAGCAGCAGAAATATCAGAGACAGCAGAGCAGAAGCAGCAGAGACAGCAGATACAGCAAGAGAGGCAGCAGATAAAGGCTTTCCATCCAGGTAGTGCAACTGAAATGCCTCTTTTGGAAAGAAGCTTCATAGTGCTTTAAATACTTCAATATCATGATTTTAATATCTGAAACTAAAAAAAAACTCACTGAGTCTGGTGTTTGACTCACTTGGCTTCTTCTGCTGCCACCTCCGCATTTTCTGTGCACTTGTCTTGCATGCCTTTTTGCTAAAAATTTAATTGAGAAAATGTCAATGTAAATTCAAATAATTTTATACCCCTTGTTCAAAATAACATTCTTCTCCCCCTCTTCCCCACATGTCTGGGTTTATTGATATCCACCTCATCCTCCAGCTTAGCAAGAGCTTTGCAAAGAAGGTAAGCAAGGAGGGGGTGATGATGATGGGGTGGTCACTCACCATTCAACAGCACCCATGCTAAATAACGCCACTTGCATCATTTCAGAAACAAATCATCTGCCAAGCCTGATATTCTACTGTGACTATGCATCTATAGGCAGCTACAGCTCTACCAGAGTCTACTAGACCTAGGTAGCTGTCAGTAAAATTGAAAATTTATGGATGGCTACATAATAACAACAATTCTTTCCAGCCAAAATGCCTTTCCAGATGCCAGTTTGTCCCCAATATACCTTACTGAGGATTGAGAAGCAAAATTAGGAGAATACCAATCTGAGTGAGCTGGGAAATGGAGACTGATTTAGCAGGCAGCTCATGTAAGGTCCAACAATGATGTGTGAATATTCCAACATTTTCATAGAGTCCATTTTCTGATGCCTTTCTCTTCAGAAGTGCACATTGCTGAAGAAGTGAACTTCAATGGCAAAAGGCCTCATTGTCCTTAACAGTGTTGAAGAGATCACCCACTGCAAGATTCTAATATTTTGGGAAGTAGTTCATATTGACCGTCATGGCATATTATGAAAAGAATAATATGGTGTAATTAGAAGTGAACTGAGAAACAAGTTAGAACTTGAAAGCCAGAATACCAATTTAGAACTTACAGTGAATTGGGTCACTGCTTCATGTCAAGTTGATGATCCCAGCTGTACCAACTTGTGTCACTCCTTCTTGAGTATCCCTCCTTCAACACTGTCACTCTTGCACTTCTGAGATTCCAATTCTTTGATCTGTGGAAGCTCCTCCTATGCACACAAGGTCATCAAACAGCAAATTTACTTGATATCTACACACCATGAGCACTTGGTTTTTGGTCACTAAGCTCCCAGAACTTTCAGTGACATCTTCAACTTTTGATAATTCAGGCTGGACAGCTGTCAGGGTATCTTTGGGAGGGAGCTCTGACAATAATTGATATAGAACTCACCCAAAGGCCTGTATTTAAAAAGGAAAGTCACCAGATATTCAATGACCTTCATTATGCTTTTTGGTCCTTTTTCTTTCAATTGAACTTCATCCCCAAGGCTAAGGACATTATGTGACTTTCAAGCACATGAATATTCAGAACTCACCTGGTAACATGGACAATGCTTTTCTCTGAGTGCTTGTAGACCTTGTGGGGCAGAGCTGGTGGCTTCTTATAGCGAGTTAAGCATCCTCCCATGAAACTAACCTGGTCGATACTCAATATAATTTCACCAAGTTCTGGAGGCACCATGATGGAATTGTTGTCATCTACTTACTCCAGTGGTTAGCTCTCAGAATAGTTGGAAATTATTGTATTGACCAGTGAACTCTACTTTTGAGAAGATAAAGGGTTTTTCTGTGGTTGCTGTAGTTTGTGCCCCATGTTCCCTATGTGTATGGGATTTTGATGATGGACCTAAGTAGGACCCATGAATTGTGAACCCATCTATGATGGTATCTGAGGTGGTAGGAAATGAGCAGCCATCGTTTTTCCAACATATTGCAAAGTTCTATGTTTGTGGTGCAAATCAGGGACATGTTGGATGAAGAATAAATGGTAAGGAGGAACTTTTCCTTCCCCACCTCAGAGGGAATCCAGCATGTTACTTTCTTTCCATCCTCTGAATATCTGGTAATTCATTATTGTCCACAGTGATCCATGCCTTATGAACTCCAAGTTGAAGCATGACAATCCACACGAGAAAAGAGAAATACTACCAAGTAGAAGAATGAGCAAAGAGTGAGTCGAACATGCATGTGTCACAGTCCCAGCCTCACAAACGATATACGACACCCTAAAGATGCTGAGAGCTATGGCGGATCAGTTACAAAAATGCATCTTCAAGACCTGGTCACCTTTGTTTACAAGTATAGACCATTGGGTGGGTTCACTCTTTGCTCATTCTTCTACTTGGTAGTATTTCTTGGTGAGCTCAGCAAGAATTCCAGGGGGACAATAAAGACCTCCGTTCAATGGTCCTTGTTTGCAGACTGGTGTGTGGGCACATAGGTGGCCACTTTGCAAGGCCTTGTCATCGGCACAGGTACAAGGTGGCATGGATGAATGGTCATTCTTGTGGGTGGTGGTCGTGGTGTTGTGGTGGCAGTGGTGGTTGGAAGGAAAGAAAGTGACATGGTAATGCCAGATCTGGAACATTACAGGTCGTAGGGCACGAGGGTGGGTTGTATAGTGTTTATGTTTAGTGTATATTAAAGCCCTTATAGCTTAGTTGGTTAGAGCATTGTACCTGTTCCTATGGTCTTGAGTTCAATTCCTGTTATGGCAAAATTTATTCTGACTTTGTCAAACTTGTGAATTTTAGGAGAGATTTCTAGTGAGTCAATTTACAAGATTGTTTTCTTGGAATGTTAACTGTTCATCTCCACATAGATGTGGTAAATATGCTTACAAAAACATCCTGTTGAAACCACTCATTCCTGTGCTTCGAGTGGGAACTACCCTGTTATACATGTCCATCACATCTATCACAGCCCAATCATTTGATCTCATGTGTAACCCTTCATGGGATACATCAGGAAAATCACTTCTTCCCTTAGGGTATCCAGGGTATACCCTGGATACCCAGAGGCTGTCACAGAACTCAGGGCATCAGGTTACCCCCAGGTACAGGTTCCTTTTTTTAATTTCCCAGGAGCAACCTGGGGTTGTCCTGAGATGCACTGAGGTTGTCCTGAGGTGCGCTGAGGTTGTCCAAGGGTGGCATGAGCTGTCCCTAGAGAGCCCTGAAGCAGACCTTATGCTACTTACTTGGCCTTCAATTTTTGTCACCCCACTATACTCAAATATATAAAATGTATATTAAATGTATTTAAGCGGTGTAAAACAACATTCTTGTCTCTTGTATCACTTGTATTTCCCCAAGCACACATGGAGGCATCTTTGCTGGCTGTTACCTTGGCATCACAGACCCCCAAAATACCTATGCCAGCCACAAGCATCCATAGCAAATGTGCTGCCCCATAAACGAAGCTCATTTCCTTCTCCTAGCCTGCTATCACCTTTGTCCCCATTGAATACTGCATTCTGACCTCAGAAAATGGACCTGTTCATTTGTCTAGATAAGGTTGGGCCCACAGGCATGGTCGAAGTGGCATTGAAACCCAGAGATTATGGTTGGTAGGATGGATTGGGTTCAATTATGCTAGGGCCAAGATTAGTCAAGGGGGGAAAGAGAAAAGAGAAGGAGCACATACTGTAGGGTTTCACTCTCCAATTTCCATCCATCCTCCTCACTTGACACTACTGCAATGCCATCAAAGCTGCACCTCTGTGTTGTTCGAAACTCTATTCAACCATCCACATAGGCCATGGTGGACAGTGGGAGCAGTTAGTGAGCATAAGGGTAAAGATGCGAACATACAAACCAGCGTACCTCAATGAAAACTCAACTGTTTCATAAACGGTTTCGTGGAGCATGTTCACAGAGTGCATAGATATTAGAACAAGTCCACACGCATGTGAAATGGACCACAGGGGGGTACTGAGCAGTTGGTGAGCATAAGGGCAAAAATGTGAACATAAAAACCAACTTACCTCCATAAAAACTCAAGCATTTTGTAAATGGATTTGAGGAGTGTGTTTATGGGGTGTGTAGATATTAGAACAAGTCCACACACATGTGAAACAGACCACAGGAGGGGTACTGAGCAGTTGGTGAGTGTAAGGGCAAAAATGTGAACATACAAACCAACTTACCTCCATGAAAACTCAAGTGTTTTGTAAACGGATTTGAGGAGCATGTTCATGGGGTGCATAGGTATGAGAATGAGTCCACACACATGCAAAATGAACCACATGGGGGTGCTGAGCAGCTGGTGAGCATAAGGGCAAAAATGTGATCATACAAACCAACTTACCTCCATGAAAACTCAAGTGTTTTGTAAACGGATTTGTGGAGCATGTTCACAGAGTGTGTAGGTATCAGAAAAAGCCCATGCTCGTGTGAAACAGGCCACAGGAAGGTACTAAACAGTTGGTGAGCATAAGGGCAAAAATGCGAACACACAAACAGACTTATCTCTATGAGAACTCAATCGTTTCACAAACAGTTTTGTGGAGCATGTTCACGGACTGTGTAGGTATCAGAACAAGCCCATGCTCATGCAAAACAGACCACAGGAAGGTACTGAACAGTTGGTGAGCATAAGGGCAAAATGCGACAACACAAACAAACTTACTTGTGGGTTTTTGTTCTTCATTTGTGGGTGATCATCTTCATTTGTGGGTGATCATCTTCATTTGTTGGCTGCTCATTGTGGCAGGGGTATGTAGTTGTTTGCATTAGGCATTGTGTTGTGGTCACAATGGGTGGTGTCGTTGGGGTGTGGTGGTAGTAGTAGTAGTAGTAGTAGTAGTAGTAGTAGTAGTAGTCACAATTGAAGTTGTCTAAGTTTGAAAATGTAAGTTGAACATGTCATGTGACATCCCACAACCATACTGACTTCTATCAATTCACTTCTTACACTTTCTAAGGCAGCTCATAGCTATAACTTCATGAGTTTTGCACCCTTTGGCCTCTATGTAGGCTTATTTTAATTGCTTTATTTATGCGAATCAGCATTAAAAAAATATAGAGTACCTCAGAAACTGTAGCATGAACTATTTGTCCTGTAGTAGAGATGTATCATATATTATATCATCATGGGTTCTGCACTGTTTTATGCAACTTTAAACTTGTTGGAAGCACGCAAATTAGAGCTTTAGAATGGGTCTAAGAGCCCCTAATGTTTCGACATTTATGATGACCCCCGATAACATTTACCATTTTTGTGCAGATTCTTCACTAGTAATTGGTCCATAGCCCTGGGAGTTCTGAACTAAATGCTATGTATATAGATGTGTTGGAACCGACTTAAATGCTGCCTTCCAGTGCAAAAAAGAACACAAAAAACGAATATGTTTTGCAAAATCTTTGTTGTTGCAGTTTTTGTAGGTCAACCAATCTCTGGACAATGGTGTACTTTCTTCTCATTCCAGTCTTATTTTACTCATCATGATTCATATACAATAAGGAATGTTCTTTCTATTGAAATCTAGTATACTAGCAGTTTCAGGTTATCTCAGGACAGTTCAGGTTGCCCCCAAGTTGCCCCAGGACATCCTGTGATGCCTTGTGACACCCTGGGAAAAAGCTTACAAACATGTTTGTCCCAGGAAAAAAGTGATTTTCCTGATGTATGACAACATGGCATTTGGGGATTGACGTCATGTCCCTCAAAGTTCCTTTCACATGACTTTTACCCAGCACCATTGTTGACCTGATTGATAGCATCATTCTATCAGCACTGAACACATTCTGAAGCACAACATATACAATTTAGATATGGTTTCAAATTCTAATTCACACCAGGGAGTTGATCATCTGCCACCACAGATTAAGACTCTCACTGAAAGATGTGGGGAAAACTGCAGTTGATGGGAAACATGCAGTACCCTCTGATATTCAATGTTCTCCCACTGCAGACTTGGATGGAAGTGGGAGCCATACCAAAAGTCTTCTGAGGAATTCGAGAAATTTATCTATATGGTATGATGGCTTTTTATTAAACTTACTCCATCACTAAAAATTTACAATCACAACTCTTTTCAGATTGGTCCTGTTGAGCAGCAGTATGGGAGTGTTCATGACATCGATTCCTGGTAAGTGTTTGAATGTTTAAGCTCTATGATTCAACATGTGTGGACAATCACAATTCTTTCCAGATTGAGCAATATAGGACTGATGACAATACCAACATCAATGACTTCCTGGTGAGTGATTAAGCTCAGGAAGAGTTTTAGAATGACAGTTCCCTTTTGAATCCTCAACCTGTGATGTGACTGTATTCAGAATTCGACAGAGTCTCGTTGCCATCTCCAGCTGAAGTTTGTCAATGGTGGGCTTTGGAGGTGGATCCAACCCAAGCTGACTCTGTAATAAAAAGGTTGAGTCAAATTGGTGCAATGATTTTGTCAGGTTTTTTTCTTGCATGTTTGTTGCCATCAAGCTGATATTTGCTGCTAGCCCAAAATGAAGAAGCAATAAGATCTTGTGATGGATCCAGGGGTTACCAGCAGATGTCTCCTTGCTTCAGGAATTCATTTTCTAGGTCTGAGGATGAACTCACGGATGTTATGGTTTCCTATAAGTTCATGGCAATGAGGTTTGGTGGCAGCATACAAAAGACCACTCTTAATATATCAAAGGCAAACATGTTTTTGAGGGCCTCATGTACTGCAATAGGGATGCT